AAACTTTGGGAAGTTGTTGAGTATACTCCCGCAAAAGTTTCTGGCATAGTACATTTTGAAAATTCCACCCCTAAGGGTATCCTCAAACACGAGTTTTATACTTAAAATACGAATACGAATATGTTTATTTAGTTACTAACCCAAAATAAACAATTGGTTTGTAACCATAGTAACCGTATGATTCGCATACTCTAAATTCTAAGCATAGCTTCTGCTGGGGGTCCTGTGACCCACACAGCTTTTTTATTGCCCTGTCCATTCTTCTTCTGTGCGTAGTGCTACACTGTTATTACATCATAATACAAATATATTTTGTATTTTAAAAATCGCATTACTTGTATGAAATCCCGTCATTCTGGACAGTCTCGCCACTATTATATGATTCTTCAAAACAAGTTGGACTAGTTTTTACCACTAAAGCTTCAGTAAAGTTTTCTTTCATATCTTCATCTATTCTGTTAACAGAACCGTGATAATCATCAGTTTCGTCTATAATTTCAACTTTAATTTTCTTTTCAGGAACACTAAAAAATAAAACAAATTATATGTAATTTAATTATAAAAGTTGCAATTATAATAATTCCATTGGGGATATTGGGAGTTAATCCGAACATAGTTCAAGTTTGTTGTTGTTGTTGGTTGATTAGTACATTTAAAAGAAGTCTATAAATTGGTGTCCCGTCAATTCATCGCAGAAATCAAACACGGTCACTTATAAAAATGAAGCAAGTCAAATGGTCACAAAACATGCATTTTATTATTAACATAATTTGCATTAGAAATCCTAGGAGTGCGAAGAATGCTTTATTGCAAAGTCCTTCCCAAGGATCTAACTCTTATATCGTTATCATAATGTAATGTATCCATAGATTAAAGTCTATAATCCAAAAATTAATAACATTTGGAACAATGGGAGCTTCAGTTGTCGTCTCTTAAGGGCTTTACCAATATTTATATCCTTAAAATAAACTATAAAGTTGACATGTTTTTTTTTTTAATTTACAAAAACGGATTAAAAGTTTTACAAAATAACATTATACCCTTTTTTGTAGAAAACGAACTTATACCAGAAGTTAATCTGGTACCTAGCTCTAATATTAATAATATTAATATTTGTGGTTAAAAAATGTTGAGTTATCGATAAATAAAACGTTAGATTAAGAAACATTTTTTCTTTATTTTTGGTGGTTGGCCCTTGGTTGATACAAAAAATGTAAATCGTGTACATTGTGATGTGTTTCAGATTTAGAAATGAAAATGAAAACATTTTTATGGTTGCCCCCACCCCCCACTGTCTCTTACCTAAGTGTTCATTAAACAAGTGATTACTTGATACTAAAGAATCAATATAAAACCTATATTAAAATAAACCAATATTAAATGTCATGTAATAAAAAAACACTTCTTTACCTATTTAGGATAAACTACAAAGGTCTAGGAATTCACCATGATAAGCATACTCATATATATATATACATATATATAATAATTAAGTATTAAATTAAAACGTTAAGCCTTGACTGTCCTTAGATTACATTAACTACTATGAAATATATTCAAAACTCACATGATCTAAAAATTAATTTTATGCATATGTAAACATCCAAAATAATCCATACAAAGGGTGCTAATACTAACAGCAAGTTTAAGTTTCTATTTCCCTTCAAATAATTTATTTTCTGGTAAACATAAATTATATTTGTAAAAAAATATATTCTTGTATTTGTATTATGTCAACAATGTAACTGTTTTGTATCGGAAAATATGCTTTAACCCATTTAAGGAAAATTAAAAATAATTTGCAATAGAATACCGCCCTACTGTTATACCCTGTTATGTTAATATAATTTTTTAACAAAATATACTTAAAATGTTCTAATTAAAAAATCACATTACTCATATGTCAATTGTGTTTTGATTGTTGTGAGTTGTCGGACAACTGTTGTATCGGTATTAAAATCAAGTTAAGGCACTTTAGATCAACTGTAATAATGAGCAAATCAAAAACTCCTATGCACTCTTATCAATATTTGTATCCTCAAATTATGCTTTGGTGTCAGTCAATATATATATATATATGTGTGTGGGATCAGATTGTATATAGTTGGCAACACTTCCAGGGTCTAGGATAAGGAATGCAGCCATTATATTATATTTACATTATATTCAATAAGTGTCGTGTTTTGTCATTGGTAAATCTATATTGTAGAACATGATTGCTAAACTGTAAGCGCTCACACGTTACTTTTTCCATTATTATTAATTACTCGATAAACTCAGAACATTAAATCATACAAACATATATGCATCTTTTTACTCACTACCAATTGGTAATATATTATTTTTAATTACTATTATTACAAAATTAATAAAAATAAAAAACCGAAATTTTATTTTATTTTTAAATGGTATAATACAAAATAATAAAAATAAATAAATTAAATAAACGTAAAAAAAACCTAAATTGTAAAATTAATAATTTAAAATAATTAAGCTCAGTCACTTTCTGAGGAGATTGCATGTTACTCCAGGATACACAATAATATGTAAAATACAGTTGATAAACTGTGGCGCTCACTTTATCGGTACAGTCAACTTTGTTCACTGATAAATCCCGAGGAAATATAGTTAGCGGCTTCTTTTTTTTTTATTATTATTATTTAAAGGTAATAATAAAATCAAGCCAATTAACAAACATTTATACAACTGGCGTTCAAAACGTTATCTGTGTAAGCGCAGCGCTAACATGTTTACCAACGAGGGGTTAAGTAAAGTATTAAACTACAAGTGTTTGCCTTCAATTGTAAAATCTGTTGCACTTTTGCTTACTGTGACAAATTAATTTAAGTATAATAAAATAATAATAATAAAGAACCTATATTGATTTTTTTTCTATTTCGTATAATGCTAATTTTGCCATATTATGTATATTGTAAAATATTATTCCTTAAAGCACATAGTATGGAAACGTAAACACTAAACACTTTAATAGTAGGTATTATTTTATTATTAACATTGAAATTGTTTGGGTGGACTGCACCGACATTGAATGTTATGATGCAAAATTACATACACCTAGTTATTTGCCATAGAATACTTATTGATACCTTAACAATGTTACTACCATTTTTGAACAAAATTTACTTTAAATTTTATAATTATAAATCACATTACTTATAAGCATCTCCGTCAATATTCTTTTGAGGAATGTTGTTGGTCGTTGAACAACTCTTGTTTGATTTTTCAAGGTCTTTTGGTTTTGTTTCTTTCACTAATACTCCGGGAAATTGATATTTTATATCTTCATTTTCTTCCTCTATTTTGATCATGGTATCGCAGTTATAATCATCCATTTTAATTGAAATTCTTAGCTAGTTTTTCACTTTATAAACTGTAAAACACAAAGCATATTTGCAAAAATTAGGATAAAAATTTATAATTAATCTATCAAAATAACTAAAGCTGGAGTTTAAGCATATTTAAATGAATCATAAGTGAGTTCAGGCGTCTTAGTAAAAAAAAGACACTAGAGGTTTTACGAGCAACATTTTTTTATTAATTGAATATATGGATATGATCTTTTAACTTTAGTTTTTAAATTCAATATGTATTTTTGGAAGGGTTTTAGTAAATATATTGAGTTGGAACGGCCCAATTTAGGCGCACAAGCTTCTAAATCTAAGGTAATGAAATAACAACAAACGTTTTTTTAATTCTCAATGTTGTACATTAATTCAGTAGTTTAGGTACATTTGATTGAAATATAGGAAAAAATTAGTTTTTTCCTTGTAAAATAAAAATTGTGAATTAACTAAATAACATGGCAAAAAATAGATATTGAAAAAAAACCCAGTATATCATTCTTGACACAGAGTTTGAACTTTCATGAAGAAAACAAGTTGCTATAGTAATCTATGAATAAATAATATAGTAGTTATGATAAATTGTGTAAAAGAATCAAAGTTTAACTATTTTACAAAACGCACATTATATAGGAAAAAAATAATAACTCTTCTTGTTAACAAATAAATAGAAAACCTTTTCAATGCGTTATACGAGGTCATCAAGTCAATTTACAATAGAAAGAGGTGGCATCTGGTGCGCTGCTATAGAATTATTAGTTAATTATTTATTTGTATAGATTATATAATATCAATATTGTATTGAACAACAATACAATTTTCTTAAGTATTTAACCTTTAAGTTAGTAAATCTTTACTAATAAAACAACTCTACGCCTGCTAGCTTCAGGAGCCGATTCGAGCCCGTTCGGCACTCTTTGCTGGATGGGGGGCTCACGCCCCTGAAGGAAAAAAAACTTGCCTTAATAACTAAACTAACCTTACCTACCGCTTAAGAAGCATTAGCGACCTAACGAGACCTAACCTAGCCTGATCTACAAGATTCCGCCAATTGTTTACTACAGAATCGTAGTCAGCATAAAAAATAATACAAGACGGTTATAAAAAAATCGCAAAAAAAAAGGTTGCCCGGCAAAACGCATTTAAGCACAATGAAAATGTCTGTCGGTACTTACTATTATTCAGCTACAATAAGGCGGTTCTAAGGCTATGATCTATGGTCGGATAACACAATTATAAAATTACACACTTAATTTATGTTTTTTTTTAATAATATGCGAGTACTTGTCAACAATACACAACACACAACAACATAACTCTTCGAAATAACAGTAACTATGGCTTTAGATCAGACATAAACAAATTACAGACAACAATCTACTTGATAAATGATAATGATGTTTATGCGTGTGCGACAAATAATAACGGCCGACAGCAAGCTGGAGGTAAAACGGAGTGAAGGTAAATAAATACAAATGCTATAATTAGTTCTAATTTCTACCACCAGGTGGCCTTGGCATCCTCCGCTGTTGTCAAACAATGCACAATGCTGAATGCACACATGACACAGCGTTATTCGTTATTCTGTAACATTGTTGTGTATCGACTATCGCCCAAAGTGACTCGGATTTTTTTAAAAATTCGTGTTGTTGAGTTTCTACAATATACGAACAACATTATGTGTGTGATTTACTACCGTTTTTTTATGTCTAAGAAGCAGAGCATTGCAAGTAGCTTTTTAGTCAACTACCATTGTAGTTGTTAAATAGTAAGTACCGAGAAATATTATGATTCAGTTTTGCTTTTATTTGTTTTAATAAATTAATAGATAATCTACAGTTTACGGGTTTTAATATGGATTTATTAAGCAATTTAAAATTTATTAGCATACATTCGTTTTAAATGTAAAGACTTATGAAGTGCTATCAACAGCTATAGGGACGATAACACTAGTTTACAGTAATATTGTACAACAGATTACATTACTTTTTTCTAATGTAAATTGACTCGCTGAACTCGAAAAACACATTCTAAATAATAATTGATAAGTAGTGAAACACTATATAGGTTTAATATAGGTAATGTTTTTGTTAATTATGAGTTCTAATACAATTAGTGATAATAATTTATTTAAAAATGTATTGATATACTGTTCGATTTGACCTAAATTTCCTCTTTAAGTTGTCGATGTGTTGATATCTTGTTATCAATACAATAGGTTTATATAATTAATGAAAATTCAACACCAATCGTCACAATAGCAAGAGTCAAATGACGTTTATTATAGTAGCACTGGTTAAATTAAAAATGTTATTCCTAGTTTACTAATTCAGGATTTTGTTACACGTATATTTACTTTCTTAACAAATATAATCTTATGTTTACCAATAAATAAAAAATATCTTAATTAATTATTAAGAGCAAAATTGAATTACATTTTAATTTATTGGTAGAGTCAAATAGTGATTAGTAAAAGATAAATCAGGGGATCTTTTGTTACTTTTGTAAAATGTGCCTTACCTAACCGAATAACATTAAAAAATTGTACAACTTTTGTTTATTAATTTAATAAATTTAATAAGTATGGTTTTAATTACTGGGTATAAATAATTAAATTTTCTAAAGTTTTAATTACTTTTCCCTAATACAGAATAAGCATCAAACTACTTCTAAAGATGTGATTCTTTTAAAAAACTAGGGCTTATTTTTACTAAAACATCTTCCTTCAGTCATATTTCATTTGAATATGTTTAAACTCGGGCTTAAGTCATTTTGATAGATTAATTATCCAATTTTATCATAATTTTTGAAAATATGATATATGTTCTAGAATTAAAGAAGTGAGAAACTAGATAAGTATCAGAATTATAATGGATGATTATTGCCACGAGACCCTGATCAAAATAGAGGAAGAAAATGAGGATACGAATAAACAATTTACCGGAGCCTTGGTGATAAAAACAAAACCGAATAACATTGAAAACTCATACAAGAGTTGTTCGACGACCTACAACAATCCTCAAAATAATATTGATGGAATTAGATATAGGTAATTTGATTTATAATAATAATATTTTGAGCAAACTTAGTTCAAAAATGTTAATAACATTGTTAAGGTATCAATAAGCATTTCATGGCAAATAACTAGGTGTATATAATTTTGCTTAAATAGGTTAAGAAATATTTTCCAAAACAAAACAGTGCGATATTATAATTACATTTCATAATATTCTTATGTTGTGCAGCATACTAATGGTGTTAACACTCATAGTAAGTATTTTTTTCTGACAAACCACAACAATCCTCAAGTAAATATTGACTAGAACGCATATAAGGAATGTGATTTTTAAGTTAAATATTGGAAATGCATTTTGTTAAAAAATAATAGTTAAAATAATTATAGGGATTTCATGGCAAATTATTAGGCGTTTGTAATTTTTCTTAAAAAAATACAGAAATACATAAAAGTAATATATTTTTAATATGTTGTTTATAAAGACATATTTTTTAAACATAACCTTTTTTTTCAAATAATCTAATAAAACTCCATATTTTTCATTTTCATTTAAAGAGATAAAAATCAAATAACTGGTCAACACCCTTCAATAAGTGTTAAAGCTGTATCATTAAATCGACGATTCACTTCTTTTCTTGTTTCAAAAATGTCCAGAAATGTCAATAATTCTCTATGGACTTTCACTTATGTATCATACATCTTAATTTGTAGATAAATAATATAATAGGTAATAATAATTTTTTACTTGTTTTTCCAATATTCTAAGTATTTAATTTATATAAAAAAATTAAATATTAAAAAACTAAAAAAGTGGGATCTCTAGGTTTTACCTCTATGAAAATTATAATAATAAAAAAACAATTTTTCTTTGAAAATAAGACATACATGATGAGTACAATTTGACCATTTCAATTGTACTCGTTACTACCAGCAACTAAAAGTACCGATAGTTATAGGGATTTCATGGCAAATTATTAGACGTTTGTAATTTTTCTTAAAAAAGTAAAGAAAGTAATACATAAAGTAATATATTTCAGCATACTAATGGTGTTAACGCCAATATTTTGTTTCTTTTTATCTGATTAGCCATAACAAATCTCATATAAATATTAACCGAAACGCATATAAGTAATGTGATTTTTAAGTTAAAACATTTGAAATATTTTATTGAAAAATCCGTAGTGATTTCATGGAAAATGACTAGGCTTTTGTTTTTCTATTTAAATAAACAAATACTTGAAAGTAATATATTTAAATAACTTGTATATAAAGACTTAATATTTTATGTTATACATAAATCGGATTCTGTCATTTTTTTGTTGGAGTTCATAACCAATAAATGCTTCAAGGAGGTCAGTCATTGGATTTCTACTTTCTATTAAGCCAGAAACAAACAACATTTTTTACAAATAATGTAATAAAACTCCCATTTTTTTTTATTTTCATTTAAAGACAAAATAAATCATCAATAATGTGGTTTTGGATGAATTTCAAAATTATTTATAGTTTTCAAATATTGAACATTTTGATAAAGCGTATCATTAAATTGATGAATCATTTCTTTTATTGTTTGTTCCTAAAATATTGAAAGGCAAGTTATATTTTTTTGTTTTATGAATTTGTTTTTTTTTTTTAATATTTGTAGCATTTTTAATAGTAGTTTTTTTCCACAACATCTTGTTTCAGGCTTTCTAAGCTTGTATTTAAGTGACACGTAGTACTTTTTTGTGGGTAAAACTGAAATAAAAATTTTATGACCGCTTAAGATCTAAAAAAATTTTAAAATAACACTTGAGAATAGTGCTGATAATATTATATTATATTATTAAAAAAATGTTAAAATCTTTTTGTTTCACTGGTAGCTTGTGCATAATTCAAAGGTAACATTTTCTTGCAGATGACGTAGCAGATATTTTCTATTAAATGTAATTATAATATATTTATTTTTTGTTCTTAGTGGGGGAAAACCGTACAACAAAACGACGGTCAACGTCGAAGTGGACCTAGTGAATGGGCATTATTTCCAGTCAACGATTGAAGTTGAAAAAAATGATCTCTTAAATGTGCAAACAACAAACGACGATTTAGACAAGATACAGTCATTTATCTGCGATATATGCCAAAAGTCATTTTCTACAAGAAAGAGAGTTGCCCGGCACATTACACATTCACACAGTGCACACTTATCAACCCAGAAAAGCACAAAAAAACAATTCGTCAAAAACACTTTTATGTAAGTTCTTTTTAATATATTTAATTACCAATTTTTTTTTGTTATTATGAAAGCGCATATATTCATAACAACACATATTACATAAGTAGATACTGTCTTTTTTTCAATTCTTTTATTGATTTATAAAAGATCTTATTATATTTTGATTAATTTCAATTTTGAAAAATGGAATATATTTAAACATATAAAAATTATAGAACTTTCTTAAAAACAGAACATTTTTCCATTAAATGTATGTGAATGATGGTATCAACACCCACTTAGCTGGATGAATCAAATTTATGAAGCAGGACTTTTTACCTATAAATAAAATATGTTATAATTATATCAAATTGTGAGATGAATATATTTTTTAATACATTATTGTTAATTATTTGTCGATGTTTTGTTGTAGTGGTGTCAATCGTATGAGAAATGTAGACCATAAAAATCCTGCTGGTTGTTATTTCGAATCTGGGATTGAAACAGATAACAATAAACAAACAGTACCGAATAGTAGCAATGAAGATATAACAAAACGGTCATTATTCCAGTGTAATTTATGTCAAATGTCTTATAACACTAAAAAGCAAATATCTTTACATATCACGAAATCCCACAAAAGTTCGACTCACAAACACTCTCCCCGAAAATCAAACAATAATGTCAATAAGTTTACTGAGGGATACACAAACATCAGCCAACCCTACAAATGTGCGGTGTGCTTAAAATCGTTATCTAGCAAATCTACTCTCACAATACACCAACGCCTGCACACTAATGAAAAGCCCTACTACTGTGGCGTATGCTCAAAATCGTTTTCTATAAAAGACCATTTTGAACAACACAAACGTGGACACACTGGTGAGAGGCCTTATAAATGTATTGTATGCTCAAAGTCATTTCCTGGTAAATCCTACCTCAAAGTACACGAACGCGTGCACACTGGTGAAAAACCTTATAAATGTAATCTGTGTTTAAAGTCATTTTCTGTAAGATGCGCTCTTACAGTACACATACGCGTGCACACTGGGGAAAAGCCCTACGAGTGTGACGTGTGTTCAAAATTATTTACTCAAAAAGGCCACTTTGAAGAACACAAACGTGTGCACACTGGAGAGAAACCCTACAAATGTATTGTGTGTTTAATGTCATTTTCTAAATTCTCCTCTCTTTCAGCGCACAAACTCGTGCACACTGGAGAAAGGCCATACAAATGCCATGTGTGCCAAAATTCATTTTTTCGAAAAGCTCACCTAACAACACACGAACGCCAGCATACTGGGGTAAAGCCCTATAAATGTGACATGTGTCTTAAGTCGTTTGCTAATAAATATTACCTCACACTACACATACGCGTGCATACTGGCGAAAAACCTTATAAATGCATTGTGTGCTCAAAGTCGTTTACTCAAAAAGCCCACCTTAAAACACACGAACGTTTGCACACTGGAGAAAAGCCCTACAAATGCGATGTGTGTCTAAAAAATTTTTCTAATACATCCGGACTCGCACAACACAAACGCGTGCACACAGGTGAAAAACCCTACAAATGCGACGTGTGTTCAAAATCATGTTCCCAACCACATGACCTCGCAAGACACAAACGATTGCACACTGGAGAAAAACCCCACAAATGTAACGTGTGCCTTAAGTCATTTACTGTAAAATCCTCTCTTACACTACACAAACGCGTGCACACTGGAGAAAAGCCTTACCAATGTAACTTGTGCCTAAAATCATTCTCTGCATCATCTAGCCTCAAAAAACACAAATGTCAAAAAAATAAGCTTGAGAATTTCAATCAGTAGTTTTAATAAAACCTAAACAATTATTCTTTAAATGTAACATAAATTCGACTTTACCCTGTAGACTAGTTTTTAGTGATTGTAAACATGATTTATTTACATTATAAATGTATTGTTAATTATTGTTATTGGAAACCTAGTATTTTTTTTTGAATTTTTTTTAATATTTGTATTCTTGTTTTTAAATTATAATCACAAATTTTTTATCATTAATTTAAAATTGTTGTTAATCTTTATAATTATTATTAAAAACCATGCAGGTGCCATCGATATAAGTATTATCATGATGTGACAATGTCTCGCTATGGAGGCATATCTAGCGATTTATCCCCAACCAATTAAGCAGTCTGGTATTTTGACTTAATATCAATTGAAGCTAAAACCAGTACAATATTGTGAATTTTTAGTTGGTAAATTATTTGTGTGAGAATTGCAATATTTATTGACAACGATTCACTATTTTTATTTACCCTAAACTTAACTACGTATAACACAGTTTGCTCATTTCATTATGTCTAATATATGGTATAAGTTCTACACATTGTTGAGCATAATATTTGTTAAGTAGCCGTATTAGAGCTTCTGTAAACATTACTTAGGTCTTGGATCTTACCAAAATCTTACATTGCGTACTAATGTATGTTTACTTTGTGTACTTAAATTCAAATTTTCTGATCGGAAAATATTATTTTTTTGAAAAATATTGCAGTGCTAGGTTACCTTGATGATAAATCATTGAAATGATATCACTAAAAAAAAAAATATATATATAATCTGTCTGTGTTCATAAAACGCCGACTGAGAGAACACTAACACCAGTCCCGTGCTAAATCGCTTTAACGTCGACACACGACGAATATCGTTCTGTTAGATACGCGCTACGTAGGAGCGACATTGTCATTTGTCAATTGCTAATTTTTTACCACTATACACTCATACGTAAAAAAAAAAACGGCTAATCCGCGTCGAATATGAAGTTTTTATTTCTCGATTTCTCGGCCATACACATCTCGTATGTGTTGGCTTGTATCGTTTCATGTTGCGTTGCAAGCCACGTGGAAACCATGCACGATTTGCTTTCGTCTCACGGATGGTACTCGTTATACACCCCGGACGGGCCTCTCCACATTATAGATCGACGACGGCCGGACCAACCCGTAAGACAGTTGTCCGTGGACAATCATTTGCTGGCGCCATCGGTGATCGACGGAAACGTGATAGACAAAATCGAAGTTTCCCATCGGTTCTTGAGCTGTTCGTATGCTACGGTGCTGATGGACTTGTTTGACTACGAGGAAGGCATAGGGCCTCAATGCCGGAGCATGAAACCGGCTGCGGAATCGTTCAAATGCCTAGAGGATTATCTGCAGGTAATCCGGTATAAACACCAGATGGTTTCGAACATGACTGGCGCTCTTTTGTCCCTACAAGGTTTGGCATCCACCCAAACGGAATTCGAAGAAGGAGTCTTCGACGTTTTGAATGATATGCCGAAGTATTACCAACAAAAGACCGTCGTCAGACCGATCTATGCCGACGAACAGACTATCCGGAAAACCGCCGACACCGAATGCAAAAACGTCGAACAGCATGTCCTCTCGGCTGATGGCGTTTTACAATAGACTTTGCTCGCCCGTTCCCGGATATCTACGTGAGTTCGGCTTTTCAGAAGTTAATCGCCTTGTTACGTTGTTAGGTATTGATATGATTAAAAAAAAAAATAATAAAAACCATCAAACAGTTTACGGAAGCTCACGACAATTATTCCGGCTTTGAATACATTCTAGAATCGAATGCCACTCGTATAATAATAACATACGATCCGAACACTACGGAACTGGTAGACAAAATGAACCATCTCCTAGAAAATTACAAATGGGACTCGTTAGGATTACTGGAAATCAAAGAACGCGGCAGTCCCTATCGGATTACAATTAACGATTTACTCAGGCTCGTCGAAGGCCTCGACGGCTTCCCCGGCGTTATTATAGTCACCAAAGAAAACGTGTACGTCAAACTCAGAAGAGCGCATCACTTTATGAGCTGTAAGTATGCTTCGATATTGAAAGAGTGTTGTGATCACGTCGCAAGCATGTGGACCAATTGCCAGGAATCCAAGGACTCAGTCATATTGTAGTCTTGAGGTATTTTCACAAATTGTCACCGGATACTGTATACAATAAAGGCGTTATCGTCTCGCTGAAACTTTTCAGAAGGTTTTACAAAGACAGAACCGCACAGGACGACCGAGACGTGGTGAGTTGGTCTCCGGCAATTAAAAAAGATATTTCGGAAGTCGCACAAACCTCGCTCGAGTTTTACCAATAATATTGTTATTCGAAGCCAACGTTTGATACTTATAACGATTCCGCCAACCGAACGTACCGCACAATCGACGTCAGAGGAGAAATTTTCAAAAAAAGTATTCTCGATTTAACAGATCGTTACGCTGTATTCAACATGAATTCGTAATGTAATACAAAGCTTATAAATAAATACAAACGAAATTGTAATAATAATGATTTTTATATTTACATTTACATTTGGAAATAAATTAGTATTTAAATAAATGCATAATTTATTTTCCGATTGATGTTATTAACTTTTTGTTTCACAAATGATGACCTAGCAGCATTTATTAGGGCTACACTGTAATTACAACTGTACAATTGGGTCAAAAAACAACTCTTAAAGCATTTAATATGTAAATAAAAAAACGAAAAACAACTACGTACCAACATTTTCCATCCCTGTACCTCCTAAGTTGGCTTTATCATTCACACCATATAGAATGTATCCCTGAATCAAATCGAACTCCACTGTTCATCCGACTTCAGTATCGAAGATGTACTTCAGTTTCAACACAGTGTTTAAAAATAACCACTTTGCATTTCATAAGTGCTGTTGTCCTCTATGCGTTTTACTTTGTGACCATGATAGATGTTAATATAAAACATAATAATACAACTTATGAATGCAATAAAAAAAAAAAAAAGTCTGTACTTAATAGATGTATTTGTATTATTGTACTTATGGTACTTTATAGAGCGTCGGAGTCAATAAGGATCAAGTCAAAACGCTTGCTGATTTTGTCAAAAAAGACGAAAATGCTTTAGACCAAATTATCCCAGAAAAATTCGAAGAAAAACTAAGAGGATTGGGCGTGCAGGATGTGCCAGATTTTACATACGAAGCAGGTAAGAAAGTTAATTTTTGTCCAGCATTTACAATTTTTTCAATTTAACGCACTCGTCTTGGTTAGCTCGATTAAATAATGTGCTTAGAATTTTATTTTTAAATATAGGTACAAAAGACGGTCAAAAAGTACAAAGTGTTATGGTATTTCTGGCCAAAAACAATAAGACAGAAGACAACTGGACGGTAATAACGAAAAAAAATATGGAAAAAATTCGTAATTAATATGATTTTCTTATTTCCATACACGTTTTTCTACATAAACCCAAAGTTTATCATCCCATGAAGTAATAATTTACTTGAGCCTGTTCAGATATAACGACAAAATAGGAGGCGATGACGATGGTCTAGTTAACTCCGAGGAATTACAAAATATAATTCAACCTTTAAGTTTAAATGATGGCGAGAAAAAAACGTTTACAGGAAAATTCGAAGGTGTTATTGAGTTAACAAGGAAGTTAATTTTATTCCTATGGTTGATAATTTAGTGATAGGTTCCATAATTTAGGTTTGATAATTAGTGCTTTCAAGTCGTTAATAAACGAGGACAGTTGACTTGTAATATCATTGGACTGATTTTGGTGGTTATTCGGGGGGGGGGGGAATTTTTATTATTTGATTGAAGATAAGGATCTCTTTCGTTATCCCTTTGATGTTGTTCGTTATTTCTTAACCATGGATTTATGGCAGATTTAGTTATTTTCTTTTTTACGTCTTTGAGAGAGACACCTCATAAATTTGTAGGGTGGTCGCTGTGACATAAAGCACATGTGGGAGGAGAACTGCCATCTTTGGAACAATTTTTTGACTCGTGATCCGCGCCACAACGGACACAACAGGGTATGTGGTTGCAATAACCACGAGTATGGCCATAAGACTGACAGCGGAGACATTGTGGTATTTCCCTTTTTGGATAGGGTGGTATAGTTTTAATTTATTAAATACAGGCATAATGTTTCCAACCTAGAAACCCTTATTAAGAAGTTCTTCTTTGATGAAATATAAATCAGTTGTAGGGTGTAGATTTCTTAACACGGCTTTGAATGGTTTTTCTTCCTTCGGTTGGAAGGAATGGTATGAGACATTATTTTCCTTTAAGTATTTAATTGCTGTTCTGTAGGAATCAAAACTGTACGTTTGCATTCTGACGCCTTAAGTTGAGCTTTTACATACGAAGCTAGTAGGGACAGTTAACACAAAATTGAGTGAAGTTTATTAGTGTCTGGATAAATATGGGGGGCGGATTAAGTGGTTTAATTTTAATGTTATCCACGTTAGAATGTTCATTAACTACCATATACTCATCAGTTTGAGGTTCGATAGGAGAAAAGCGATTTTGCGAGACAATAATATTGTTATTAGTATCTTTTTTTGATTTTGGAGAATTGGGATTTGGGTATCTAACGCGTTTCTTATCAATTTTTTGCCATTCCTCATCATCTTCGGATATTTCTGACAACGACGAATTTTTAGCTGGGCGGCTTATAAAAGTACTGTTTGCCGAGGATAATATTGGTAAAACTGTTTTAATAATAGAGCTTTGCGAATAGCAAGATGCTGTGGTATTGCTATTAGACATAGCGGAAAGGAGGAAGAGCGGCGAGACCGGTTCGAGAGGCGACCTTGACCAGTTGTCAACCGCGTTGTGCGGTTCTTATTATGCACAATACTTATCAAACAACTAAATGTAATATGTTTTACTTACGATGTAGATTTCACCTAAAAAACGGCGATTCCCTTGACGAAAGAATACACTACAATCGTCTTTCGATAAAGAAGCCACCCATGTTGTTAAGGTGGGTACAAAACTTGATGAAAAAAACACAATAATTATTTTATTAGGATTTGAAAAGCACGGAGTAAAATAAACGCGTGCGTGCATAACGAGATCACGTGGCGAAGTGATATAAATAATTTATAAAAAAAATAACTTTAACATTAAATATGTATAAAAGAAAAATCATTGGATCTACTAAAAAGTATTAATCTATAATGCATACTAATTAATACAGCAACGAGGATTGTTTATTGGTAAAAGTTTTTTTGTTGCCAGGCTATCTAATTTATTTATTTTTTGCATATGGTTAATGACATTAGGTCCACAATTTGTATGTGGTAATATTTTTAACGTTTTTATCTCATTACTTTTAAGTATACCTACTATTTTTAATGGTTAAATAATTGTAAACTAATACAACTTTTAGAGTAATCGTTATGATTATTTTGAGTTACTTTTTTACAGTAAAATACATAAACATTCGGTAAAGCATTTACTTTAAGTATACGATTCATAAAGGTATTGTCTCTACCCTAATGCGCTCTATTAGATACATTATTTAATATCATATTTTATGTTGTACAAAAAAAGAAAGCTAAAATATTACAGTTCCAATTATTATATTCACTGAGGCTGTGCATATTATGTGTTTGACGAGCAAGTAGACAATTAATGAAGTTTTGCGCAGAGCCATACAAATTTAGGAGTGAAACAACTTTACTATGACACATAATAACATATATAATATAATTTTAAATACGTAAACTCAATTTGAGTTTAATAGATTGTAGTCAATTTAGGTGTTTTATCCTTAAGTGTTATAATGTGTCTAATAGGAATTGTAGCCAATTGTTGAATAACCGTTATAATAAAATAAATAATAGAACCATACAATTTGTAAAATACGAAGATTCTTAAAATATTTAATGTTTGTGACACCTAGAGGTATTCATCATTTGTATACATTACAACAGACGTTGTGGAAAACAGCTTGGGTTTGATAAACAATAATACAATATTGGATTACAATTTATGAAAATCAAATGATTTTACAAAAACTCCTTGTAATAAGTTGTAATTATAAAATATTTTTGATTTAGGAAAACATTTACTGTATGTCTCTCTTTTACGTTTAACGTCCGTTATTTCCACCGACCGGGGCTTAGACGGTTTAATTTGGCATTTTTGGGCTTATAGCTGGTTGCTGACCTAACGTTACCAAAAAAGTTGGCCCGAGAGAGAGGTGCAGGTGGCCATTTTTTCCCCTAGACAGTTGATAGACTGCCGACTTATTTCCTTCCACCACGTGCCTCCACACAATAAATTCATAGTTGTTATAAAATAACGTTCTACAATACACTCAAACACAAGCATCAAAACAAAATTGGTTTTACAAAGTAGCTCGTATTTTCGTTCGTTTACACTGCCTCAATCGAAGCAGATAACAATTTACTTTTAATTTAAAAAACCTCAGTCCAACTAGAAATGTTGTGTGCTTTTCTATTAACCATAGATTTTGTCACACCAATATTGTATTTTTTGGGAGAGTTGATTAATCACCTTAATTTATGTATAACACAAAGTCCATCTTGTGCCAAATATATTTTGTTTGATGAAAGGGTTGACTTAAATAAGAAACTTATTCAACAATGATTTTCTGACTTAAAATTCGTTATAAAATTATATTTAACATTTTGATTTATTGTGTTCAAAGAATATCAGGAATATTCGACAACAATTTCATGCAACGCTAACCAAAATTGTTTATTGCCAACGGAATGTTTAATAAGCATTACGAGTTTTTTTAGAAACATGCACGTTCTGTTATTTTCCAAATAATTTTGCCATTCGCACCATACTTTAATAACACTATTTCCATACAGTTTGAATAACATTTGTTATATAATGTATATTATATTTATTTAAATATTTTTTGCCACATAAGTTTCTAAATTTAGTAATTGTAAATGTTTTTAAAAAGGAAAACGAAAAATTAAAAATATTTTAGAAAAAAAGTGTTTTAATGAATCATCTCATGAATCTCAAAAACCATGTATATAAAAAAACCGCCAAAACAACTCTAAAAATTGATACCTCTTATCATAATTAATTTTGTTTGTAATAATAATATTGTTTGAGCACAAGTATATTTTGAATTTATAGCTGGTTTTAAGAACAGAATACCTATTTTTCTTAAACTTTCCATAAAAAAAAAATACAATATTTAAAATGAAACCCTGGCGAATAGTTTACATATACAATAATGTTATAATATACATATAATATAATTTTTGTAAACCACGCTTTGACGGCCGGCTTTATGTTATATGACATTTTATTAATTAGTAATAACCATACGATAAACATTTACGACTTGTGGATCTAGGGTTATTTTTATTATTGTAAAATATTATAATAGTAATTATTATTATACAAATATCGGGGTGGTGTGGCGCAGTGGACACCTCAGCTGCCGCATGGCACTTGAGGTTAAGCTGTGGCCGTTGCTGCTTGAACCCGGATGGGTGACCACCCGGATTTTTAGCGGTGACCTACATCATCAACCCCCGATAAGCATGGCAGAAATTTCATGCACCCTCTGGCGACCGAACTGGCATAAAGTTAGCTATAGCCCTCCCGGTCAAATACGCCATTCGAATATTTTTCATACGAATAAATAAATAAATTATAAAAATAATATCTAATGACTTGTGTTGTGCGTAAAAAATATCCAAGTTTGACAAGAAAAAATTGTCTTCATTTTGGACATGAATAAAGTATATTAATAAATAAACACTATGCAATTTGCCACCCTAGGCAGTCGCATTATATTAGTTGATCAATAATTTCTTATAAATATTTATCAACGCAAATATGACTTAGCATAGGCGTAGTCTATTATTTATTGTTATTTTTAAGTAAAAATTCGAATATTATGTTGTAGATTATGAGTAATTTAATTTGCCAAGTGGTTTTCTACAAAAAGCAAATTGTTGGTACAAAATAAACAATAAAACATATTTTGCAATAGTGTACTTATTGTACGCATTTTAAACGAAAAAATCTTTTTTGAACAAAATACATTAAAATTTTAGTGGAACATAAAATAATAAAATTTACTATTCAAGTAAAAAAAATAATATTGTTAAGATAAACAAAAGGCCTACCGTGCGCAACGGTGCGAGGCCGCCCGTCCGGTCGAGCCGTTCGACCGCGATCCGAAAAAGGTCCCGTGCAGGACGCCAGACAAAGGCGCGCAAACCGTTAGGGCCAAATGAAAAGATGGATGGAGGGTTATCCGTGGTATCCGCCCCTTACGTTCAGCCCAAGCAAATAATCCAAAATTGCTAAATGATTAATACATACATTTGATCCACTTATAAGAACAAGAGCCCAATAGTTCTAAATTACATCCAGGATTTATGTTAATATATTTTTTTAATTGCACGTGTCTTCTTTAAAACTTAATTGGGAGCAGGTAACAACACATTACAGTACATACAAAGTACATACAAACTAGTGCCGGCGATACCTGGATTTTGCAATGCGGGTGAAGAAAATAAACAATTGGCGTTCTTGTACAATTGTTAAACGTTTACATACTAATAAATATTATATTTTAAAATAATATTTGATTAAATAAATTAGATGTTAAAATAAGATTAAATTTAAACATTGATAATAATATATATCCCAAAAGTCCTTGGCCCAAAGCCATCGTGTTGACCACAGACATAATAATATACAAGTAAATAAATGATATAATATTATTTCGATCGACATATTTTTTTAAAAAATTACATTTATTAAAAGTAATTGTTACATTATTTATACCTGAAAATTGTCAACACTTATTGTGAAAAACAAATTCTGGTTAGTTTTTAGCTTTTTGATGCAATTGGTTTTTGTTTTTATTCCATTTCAAAATAAAAATTTTTCAATTTTTTACTTCAAACCTATTTTAATAAAAAAAAAACAATTTCCCGGAATAGATTTTAATAGGAAAGATTTTTGGTAGTATAACCTTAATTTCAATTTGTATTACCTCAATATTACCTTATTTAAGTTTTATGCAGACATGCAGTACAGTAAGAAATTTCCTTAACAGTCCTTATTTTTAATATCACAAAATCAATTTGTATTGACTATAATAGGTAAAATATGATTAACGCTGTTGACTCAGAACGATTTTGTGTATTTTGTAATCAAGGTAAAAAACTAATCGACTAATCAGGCAAAAAACTAATCGACAAAACCGCCAAACCTTGAAAACATTTTGGTTTAGGTGTGCTATATTACAATAATTATTAAACGCAATAGGTACTTTCATTTTTTTTCTAGAGCTTCATCAACTTTTGAAACTTAGGAGGGAGGACGGGAGGAAGGGTGGAGTGTAGAGTTATTTTTATGTGCACACATTTCTCAACCGTGCTAAAAAATTTTTATAAAATTAAAGTCGCATTTCTTAATAAACCTTATGAGATGCTGAGTGGTTCACGATAAAATTATCATCCTGTATAACATATGTAAACATGAATCACAGTAAGTACATGCGAAATAGTGACGACGATATTGATTTTGCAATGCGTTAAATAGAATAAACATTTAGCGTTCTTGTAAAATTGTCAAACGTTTATTTACTAACAAGTATTATGTTTTAATAAAATATTTGTCTTACAACACCAAACGCTTTATGTTATATACATGATAATATCTTTATAATATATAAAGCAATGTAGGTACGAATACCGAGTAGTTTCAAAGTAGTTTTCATTTTAAAACTAATCATCAAATATTCTAAACTGTTTGAAGGAGTAAGATGTATTTGAAAAATATCATAATATTGTTTTTCTGCGTTGCGGTGCACTTTTTCCAATGCCATGGTGGTAAACCTACTCCAGAAGAACTTGTAAGTATGACGAGCACTTAGTATTTATAATTATAAAAAATTGCTCAGACTCCTGTAATTGTATACAAAACTTAATAAAATTTTTTAGAAAAATTTTCTAATGTTTTTAGCGAAGAGTTTTTTTTTATGGTTTTCATTGAATTATAAACAATTTTTAATAACAATAAGAATTAACGCTTTAATTCCCCATAAAATTATGTTAAATTCTTTGGACTAGAGGGAAAGTGCACCACACCTTTCTTCCTGCCCTAAATTTCAAAGAAATATGCAAAACGAATTTTCGATCAGCCAAAATCTTAAGTACAATATTCTCAATTAAAAAATTTAATGAAATGCGCGCAATGCCATTTAAGTTTCAAAAGTTTAAATTAAAAAAAAAGGCTGAGTTTTATGTGTAAATTATAATATTAATTTTAAAGCTTTTTCCGAAACCTATAGGAAATGATAAGGAGCGCATTCGTACAATATACAAATCATGAATATCGACAAGTAGACGTTAGAGTTCTAAAAGAAATCTTCGACGACGTAGCAGAAAAATCGGGCACGACCAAAAATTCTCCAAGTCTTCAATTCTTGAGATCGCAATTTCATGGTAATAATCAATAGAAAAATGTTCAATAAATATGTTAAACAAAATATTCAACAACTATTGCAATGCCATTTTGGTAATCAAGTTCGTCATTTGTATAGCTGTAAACTATTATTTTTTTGTTTTTAAGCTAAAAACCATAACTCTGGACTAGTGAAAAAATTAAAAATATATGGGACCTTTTTTTGATGATAAAAAATAATTAAGCAAAATCCAATAGTTTAACTCGAAGCATATAATTTAATGTTGCATATTCGTTTTTTAATCTCAATGATATTTGAAGTAGAAATGTTTTGCAAGTGTACCACATGATTTTTTTAAGAGATTTTATCACTTTCGGTTATAATAATTTCTGTAGACCTGTGACCTCCTCGTCCCCACTATGCATGCCCCGACCCTATTGTATTAACATTAAAAAAAAAACATAAGACCTTTTTTGATGGCGTACAAAAAAATGTATAATTTAATATTTGAAATAAAAAAGTTTTGCATGTGTAACACATTGTTATTTTCAATTATTTTAGGGTCAAGTTTTGGCTGTTTTAATTATTTAAAAAAATGTACGATATTTTTTACTTTCAGACGATAAATTAACATTGGCTGCAGTTAACTGGACCGTCAAAGAATTTTTAGGTCCCAATAATCCGACAATAACGGTAAATAAAAATCTATAATACTATATTAAAGATAAAAGGCTCGTTAGATTTTTGGTGTGAGGATATTCGCAGTATTTTAATACATTTTTATAAGTAAAATAGGTTTAATATAATCTTTTAGTATTATAAGTACTTAGTGTTTATAATTAATACAAATTACAAAATTGTTTTCTGTTATATACATTTACAAAATGTAAATTATTTTTTTATAAAATTAAGTATATGACAATCACTTAGTGTCTATGATTATTAAAAATGTCTGAGATTCTTGATTTTTAGAATATTAATTAGGGGATACCCATAATGATTTCCCGAGTAGTCGCGCTTGTTACCTTGTCTTTCATAATTATTTACTAAGTATCTGTCCTGCACTCATAAACAAACATTAATAACCAATTTTGAAAATAGTTTAATAAAATTAAAATTGTTTTAAACAATAGCAGTGTCGATTAGAACATGTTTATTGACAAAAAGTTGTCATATTTTTTATTCAGTTTATATTGTTTGTTTGTACCATTTATTTCGACGAAAAATATTAAAAAATAATGTAATTCTTATACAAGTCTTCTGTATTGTAAATTACTGTGGTAAACAAATATAAACCATGGTTTGTTTTTAAGGAATTTCAGTTTTATGTAAAATATATACGATTTATCGTTTATTTCTTGTTCTGTAACAATAGGATCTGGTAAGAAACGCATTCGAACACCATACAAATCATCCGAATATCGTAGACGTTAAAGGTTTAAAACAAATAATCGACGACATAGCAAGGCAATCAGGCACATCCAGGAAACCCCTCAGTCTTCAACAATTGATAATTCAATATAAAGGTAATAAACAATAGAAAAATATTCAATAAATATGTTTAACAAAATGTTCAACAACAACTGCAAAGGATATTTAGTAATCAAGTTCGTAATTTGTATAGCTGTGAATAATTATTGCTGTGTTTTAACTAAAAAATCATAACTCTGGAACAGTAAGGTCTGCAACCACGATAGAACATTTTCATGTCTCGTTGAAGTACCGAATAAATTTAGATTAGATGTGGAATCATAATGAAAAAAAGAAATTACATGGAGCTTCCAGTAACAGCATAAGGCCAAGGAGATTAAAAAATTGTGTACAATCAAGTTTAATAAATGTATGTTAATTTGTACTTTTAGGTGATAGTATATTTACAATCGACGAAGTTGAACTCATCGTCCAAAAATATTTACTTTCCCAAGATCCGAAAATAATGGTAAATAAAAAACTATAATACTATATTTCAGATAAAAGTCATGTTATAATAGTTTAAATATACCCCCCAACCGAATAACGATGTGTTTTTCCTGAGAAAGAAACCTTTCCTGAACGATATTTGCCAGTTTTTTCTCTAGACAGGAAAAAATTAAATAATAATTTTGTATTCAAATATAAAAATAAAAATCCTTTCACTACTATAAAATTAATGTTTTTATGCTAAAAAAATCTACAAGTATATTATGTCTAATAGTTAGGCATTTTGGTTTCGTTAAAATCAGTCTTTATGTAAAATGTAATATACATTTAAATATCTAATTCTTATTATGCAAACAATAGGAAATGATTAGCAACATTATAAAGAAATATAAAAGGACAACTAGCTTAGACTGTAAAAGTGTAAAAGAGATAGTTAAAGAAGTAGCAGAGAAAACGGGAGTGTTAAGATGCATACCAACCTATCTTGATGAACTACAAACGGAGGCACCAAGTAATAAACAATAGAAAAATATCCAATAAATGTGCTGAATAAAATTGTATAATTAATAGATGTTTTAATTATCTAGTTTATCGAACCTTTTTTATTTTTATAAGATTAGAAATCATAACTTGTGAATCAAATTAAAAAAATTAAGCATAAGGGAGCTTATTTTGATGATAAACAAAAAAAAATTTGCAAAATGTGAGATTTTTTCCTAATTTATAAATTTTACTAAAATGTATAATATTTTGTACTTTTAGAGTGCAAGTTTACTGTGAAGGAAGTTGAAACCATCGTCAATGATTATTTATTTTGATTTAAGTGTTTGTCTATTATAGTATCTATTAATAAATAACTGCATGTATGTACTATGTCATGTACAATACAGTTTTGATTAATCAATATACCAATTTTCTCTTGTATTTGAAAAAAAAAAAAAAACAATAAACGTATTCACAATTTAAAGTTTACCAGTAAGCAGATACAATGAACGATACTTGTTACTCTGTTCAATATAAAAATTTTGTTTTATAATTTATTTTAAGGAGATTACATGCGGTCTGTTTTTAAGGAGTATTGTATAGGCGTTATTTAAGAAATAAGAGGTTTTAAAAAAATTCGACCATATCAATTAATTTACCTGATAATTTGTATTAGCTTCAAGGTATTATTTTGAATTTACATAAGTTTTTCTAAGAGTAAAAGCAGGGTTCCATAACGTAACGAAATATAACGTTATAAACTCAATTATTTCGTTTACTAAAATAAAGTTCACAAAACATAATACAATATTAGTATACATTTTGTGAACGTTATAATGAATAACCGGAACCTATTAACCCAGTTTTTCTAACCCACATGTCTCTGTTTCCTCTTAAGATAAACTTTTGAAATTTGAAACATAGATTAAGCTTAAGTAGCTCAAGATACTGTAAAAAATTGAGCACTTAATAGTAAGCATTTTCAAATATGCTAGTGCTGTCCATCCGACAAGGAGTAGTGTCATGTTTATAAATGTACATACCAATTATGTAAATATGTACATACCAAAATTAGAATTAAGTTAATTGTGAGCCCGCCTCGCGAAGAGAAAAACGGTATTTTATAACTCCAATCATTTGTAGTGATGCTAATAAACGATGCTGCCTGAAAGGATGTAGTGTGTAAACAGTCCCCTTCCAGATTATGTATTTCACATTAAAAGTGCTAAAGTAAAATTATACAGTACAACAGATATGTGTTTTTATTTAGTTCCATCCATAATAATGTATTTTAATAATTGCCTTCGGTATCCCAAGGTCTTACTACATCCACAGCCGCGATATTACAACCAACTACGGTGTTTTGTTTGTTAGTGTAAAATTGTTTGAATCTATATTTTCCATAGAAAAAAACCTTCGGCTTAAATAATGTGTTATCAAAAATGTTTGTATCATACCGAACATTGTAAACACCCTAAAAAAATTGTACAAAATTACTTAATAATAGTAATCTCTAAATAAAACTAAATAAGCATTGAAAAGTCTTTAGCTAGTATCGAACGTTAAAAGATATTTGTTCCATATTGATTACCTTTGCAACCGGACATTCCGCATGTTCAATGCCTAAAAATGTGTGAAATGACGTTCCGTAAAATCGCTTTACTGTAGAGCATGCCTTTTTAGATGAGTACACATAAGCATTAGGTTTCCATCCTCCAATTTTATCCATTACAGCCATATTCACGTGCACCTATATAATAGAACAAAAACATCTGTTAAATTGAATCTTTACATGATTTAATTTTGTGTATAAATAAAATTATATAGTTCTACGAAAGTAAAATACTCACATCTAAATCGTCGTTGAGCGGTTCTAATAACGTTACATTTCCGACATATTCAGTTTCGTTGATTGACTTCTTGCTGAGATGTATGTTTAATTGGATCGTCTCATTGATATTCAAATCGCATTTATATACAGCTTTAAAGATGAGCTTATACTCGCCCTGAGTGAATATACAACGTGTGACGTTAGCGGCTTATGATAAAATATAATAGTCTACCATTACACTTTAGTCTTTAATAATATAAATTATACTCAGTATGTATCCCAATATTATATCATCCAGTAATAGTAAACACATACCAACTCAAGTTAACTAACTTTTTTAGTTAAGAATAATTTTCAGAAAATTCTGAATGGTCGGTAACGAGTTTTGAACAAATAGTTTGGAAGCTGTTAAAGCAATTTTGGACGAAAAGAGTATTGGAGTTTAGTATTATTTATATCTGAGTGCATTATTCTACCACCATCAACCTCCAGTCCTAAATTTTAAAGATAAGTACCATTTGAAAATAATTATTTAAAACTGGTTATCTAGATCTAGATGTTAGTCTACATCTTCAGCAAATTTTTCTTAACTTAAAAAAAATATTTAGTGTACACTTAACCATTTAAATGTTAAAAGTTAACAAGAATCCGGAAAAATACAAAAACTTGAATATTGTCAAATATTGTAAATTAACATAAACGAAAGTGTCTCCAAAAAGAAAAATTACAATTAGAGAGAAAATGAGTGTCTTATGATTAATGAACCGCTCTGTTATTTATTATCCCTGGATTTATAAAAATGTTAAACTTATGCGCTGTATCTTCATACGTAAAATATATTAATGTATAACATTACATACCGAAGGAAGATTAGGTCGAAGCAACGGTTTCATTAATAGATCTCCAAGAGAAAATCCAAATAACAAGCTGAAAATATTAATGTATAAGCCTATCATTATTAATATTGACGGATAACGTGGTAAAACACAATATTGGTGTTTTAAGCGTTGGTAGTATTAATGACCAAATTGTACCAAATTAATAGAAGACTGTTGCTAATAATGTTGATTCAAATTCTAAAGTACAAAAGTAAAAATACATTATATATAGTAAAGTAGGTGTATTAATAATACATTTTATGTAGATATATATGCTTGGTTTTTCAGATGTCGGGTAACACGCACAGTAGATAGTAGATACACACAATATACATTTAATTGGTCATCGTTTCATCATAATAACGCATATTATTATGGTGTCATTCCGTTATCAGAAAACTTTTTTTTTTTTTAAAGCAATTTTAAAAAAAAAAATTTATTGACGTTTATTAGAATATTTACAATCTATACTAAATTATGAACAATATGTAAATTTACTGGAGGAAACAATAAGAATGACAGGGCGGCTAGGAGGAGCCTTACATTAGAGCCACCTGTACATAAGAATTTAAATTAAGTTAATTTACGTTGAGTAGGTAAATCAGTTCTAACATTGATTAACAATGGAACAATATATACTTAATGGTTCTTATAACGTTATTTTTCTACATATTATGTAGTTTTACGCTGTGAAATCTTGTTAAAATACAAATTAAATCGTTTCATTTGAATTTCGAGGATTGCACTTATATACTAATCTAATTTGTATTTGCCATAAATGAACAAACAACGTGATAATCTACTAATTACTTGATCACCATATATGCATAAAGAATAACATAAGATAATTTTGCTCGAAATAGTTGTTAGAAATAATTTGATTTGTTAAAAATGTTAAATGGTAAAATCCTTACCTAACCTTACTGATCCTAACCTTTATTTTCTGATTTTTAATCAAATCATTTTCATTTACACAAAATTATAATAAATATTAATTAAGTTACAAATATTAATTTTAGCTAAAAAATTGTTTTATTTGTATTTTAACCTTGTTACATATAATAACGACGATGTTGTAATGAAAAAAGTAGCTGTCCTTCTTATCAACATAAATCAAATAAAAGGAAATAAACTATTATGTATCCAGGGTCAAAGTCACATTAAATAATAATATATTGTTACAGCAATCTGTTTAAGTTTTTAATAAGTATTGCCTGAATGGTATAAAAAAATGCATGTTTTAAACAAAACCATGCCGTATTGTTGTCAAGTAATAATAAAAAATACGCTGTATTAGATAAAGAATGGTAAATACACTTATTACGCACAAAAACTGAGATATATATAAAAATAATATTAGCAATGCCTTTATTGAGTGAAGGGTTGTGAGTGTTCTATAGATTGATCACAATGAGAATGACACTAATTTGTATTTCTCAATTTAGATTTCTTTACAAAATACTTTGTTTTTAGCTTCACTTTTTGTTTGTGAAAAGGTATAATCAGGGGTTCGCCTACTTTGTACCAAATGAATACTATACAAATAATAATAATTTAAACGTACTTACAATTTCTGTCGCCCAAGTAAACATAATGCTTCTGATCACTCTTATCCATTTGAAAAGGTCCTAAAATCACGGCTAATACAAAAGAACTTCCCTGTTCCGTCTTGTTAAGGGTACACCGAATAAATATTCCTTATAAGTTTCTACTCGATCCGAGCGGGCAACTGTCTGAGGAAAAAAATGGCCACCTGCACCTCTCTCTGGGGCCAATTTGTTTGGTAGTGTTAGGTCGGCAGCTCTAAGCCCAAGAATGCCAAATTTA